TTCAAGAAGAACAAAGCTAGACTGCCTGCGGTGGCTCACTGAGGCTGTGGGCTTACACATGGCCCTCACCACAGGAAAATGTAGGCCATAGGCCAGGCATGATGGCTCATGCTTGTAATCCCAGTACTTTGGGAGGCCAAGGCAGGAGGATCACTTGAGCCCAGGAGTTCGCGACCAGCTTGATCAACATGGTGAAATCCCGTCTCTACTAAAAAGACAAAAAATTAGCCAGGTGTGGTGGCCGACACCTGTAATCCCAGCCACTTGGGAAGCTGAGGCAAAAGAATCGCTTGAACCCGGGAGGCAGAGGTTGCAGTGCGTCCAGATCATGCCATTGTACTCCAGCCTGGACAATGAGAGGGAAACTCCGTCTCAAAAAAAATAAATAAATAAATAAAAAATAAAGAAAATCAGCTGGGCATGGTGGTGCATGCATGTAGTCCCAGCTACTCAGGAGGCTGAGGTGGGAAGATTGCTTGAGCCTGGGAGGTTCAGGCTGTGATTGAGCCACTGCACTCCAGCCTGGGCAACAGAGCGAGATTCTGTCTCAAAAAAAACAAAAACAAAAACAAAAAAAACGGGCCAGGTGCAGTGGCTCACACCTGTTATCCCAGCACTTTGGGAGGCTGAGGCAGGTGGATCAGGAGATCAGGAGATCGAGACCATCCTGGCTAACACGGTGAAACACCATCTCTATTAAAAATACAAAAAACATTAGCTGGGCATGGTGGCGCCCAGGACAATCGCTTGAACCAGGGAGGCGGAGGTTGCAGTGAGTCGAGATCGGGCCTCTGCACTCCAGCCTGGGCGACAGAATGAGACTCCATCTCAAAAAAAAAAAAAAGCAGAAAGAACAAAGCTAGAGGACCAACAGACAACCAGATGTCAAGTCTGACTATAAAGCTATACTTAATAAGACAGCATAGTTAGACAAATGCACTGGAGGAGTAGAATAGGGTACAATATTCATAAGTAGACTCCCAGATATTTATATGGTTGCTTATTTATTTATTTATTTTTGAGACAGAGTGTCTGTCGCCTAGGCTGGAGTGCAGTGGTAGGATGTTGGCTCACTTCAACCTCTGCCTCCCAGGTTGAAGTGATTCTCCTGCCTCAGCCTCCCAAGTAGCTGGGATTACAGGCGCCCACACCACGCCTGGCTAATTTTTGTATTTTTAGTAGAGATGGGGTTTCATGTTGGCCAGGCTGGCCTTAAACTCCTGACCTCAAATGACCTACCCGCCTCGGCCTCCCAAAGTGCTGAGATTACAAGTGTGAGCCACCACGCCCGGCCATGGTTGCCTATTTATATATAACAGAGGTAACACTGCAGAGTAGCACTGAAAAAGACAAGATTTTTAATTGAATTAGATAGCCACATTACAAAAAAAAAAAAAGTAAATCCTGATTCCGTAAATATAACCCAGCTGATTTAAGACCCTGTTGTGGCCTAACAGCTGTAACCCTCTTTGCATTTTCCCACCTTTGAGTAACAAATTCCTTTCCTCACCCCAGGACAGAGAGTCTGCTCAGCAGTAGCTGTGGATGGTAGAATGCACGCTGGTAGGTCTCAGTGGCTCCCAGAAGCCGCACCCCCTCTACGGAACCTCACTCTCCATCTCCCACGCTCCAAAGCGAGGAGTCCTCAGAAAGTCCAGTTTCCCTATCTTATTTTTTCTTCTTTCTTTCTTCCTTTTTTTTCTTGGGTGTCCTATCAGTTTCCCTATCTTAAAGTGGCAGGTTTGGCTCAGAAACTCCCGTGTCCCTCAGCGTCTCGCCGGCACCCTCTGCCGGCGTGAGGTGGCGCTGCCTGGCCGCGTCCTGTGGGAGCGTCCACATCCTCGCTCTACAAAAGGAGCGTGGACACTCTCGGACCTGGGAAAGTGAAGGCCCAAAGGCCAGGGAGGAGCCGGGACCTCACCCTGAGCAAGCGGGAGGTAACGGCGGGCAGCCGTGGGGCGGAGACCGATCGCTGGGGGCGTGGTCACCAGCGAGGCTGGGCCTCTAGCGGGAGTGGGGGCGGGGGCGGGGGCGGAGGCGGGGGCGGGGCCAGCCTACAGGCCCAGACGTGGCGCAGGGACTCGGAGGTTCGCCTCCAGCTTGCGCATCACCTGCGGCCGGGTCCCGATGAGCCTCCTGTTGCCTCCGCTGGCGCTGCTGCTGCTTCTCGCGGCGCTTGTGGCCCCAGCTACAGCCGCCACTGCCTACCGGCCGGACTGGAATCGTCTGAGCGGCCTGACCCGCGCCCGGGTAGAGGTGAGTACGCCGGCCTCCAGCCCCGACACTACCGTCCCCCAACCCTACCGTCCCCCAACCCTGCGGCCCCATGGGAGCACCGTCTGCCCTGGCCCCAGGACCACCTCGAACCTCGAGTCCCTGCTTTCCCCCTTGCGCCGGGACCGTCCGTCCTGTTCCCTAGCCCCAGATGACCCCAGCATCCACCGTGGAAGTCTGAGACACCGACTTTGGGGCCTGGAACTCCGAACCCTTCCCCAGCTCCCCCTACCCGGCCCGCCAGCGGACACCCAGACACACTGACAGAGCAGTCTCCTAACTCTTCTCGTGGCCTATGACTCCCAATCCTGTCCCAACTTCCCATCCCCCATCACTTCATGTTCCTGGAATTCCTCCCCCACCCAGTTCCAGGGCTTGAGGTTCCAGAAAGTCTCTTTTCCTTTTTCTAGGGGGAGAGAAGAGTTTCTGGGTGCCTCCTTCCATATGCAGGAGCCAGGGAAGGGGGCCAACTCGGAGGGGGAACCAAGTTGGGAACTTGTTTGTCAGCATTTACTCTGCAGCAGCCTCCCATGCTCCCCCTACCAGGAAATTCCCTTTCGGAGTCCCTGTCTTGCTATGTGACTTTGACCATCACAGCCCTCCTCTGAGCTTTTTGTCAGCTCTGACAAAAAGGTGTAGAATGGCTGGGTGCCGGTAGTGCACCCCTGTAATCCCAGCACTTTGGGAGGCCAAGACAGGAGGATTGCTTGAGCCCAGGAGTTCAAGACCAGCTTGGCGGACATAGTGAGACCCTGTCTCTAAGGAAAGGGCTGAGGGTAGGATGGAGGAGGGCTGGAGTGGGTGGTCCTGGGGTCTGCACTCCTGCTGGATGGTGGTGTCTCCTCAGGGAAGGCAGGGAGGAGTCCTCCCACCCTCCTATGTCAGGGAAGCAAGCAGATGGTCTGTGGGGCTGGGCCGCAGGTGGCAGGCAGGGTGAGGTCTGCCTGTGTAGAGTAGGGACCAGATGGTAGGTGTCTCTAATGGGGGCCCCCAGGGCCATTCTGAGGTGTTTCCTTCTGGTCTGCCTCCACTGTGAGATTTCAGGGATCAAAGGCCAAGCCCAGGTCTCTACTGCTTAAGAGGAGCAGGGTGATCATTTCCCCTGGGCATTGGGAGTCAGTCAACAGCCAGGAGGATGTACAGGCCCCAAGGCTGGCAGGCACACTGTGGGTCTCTGGCCTTGCTCTTTTTCCCTGGTGTCTGTAGGCCTGAGTCTCCCCAACTGTATACACAGTTCCCCCTTCTGTCCACAAGGGGCCAGCATTTCCTTCACACCTTGGGAACTGCTGATCCAGGGATAACTCACAGACCGACCCAACTCAGGGATAAGGATGTATGGCTTTGGGGATGTGGCTGGTATAAATGTGAAGGACCTCTGACCTATCCCATTTTATCCCCCTCCAGACCTGTGGGGGATGACAGCTGAACCGCCTAAAGGAGGTGAGTTTGAAGGAAGAGGTCCCTAGCTCTGTTCCCCCTGAGCCTCTTGGGGAGTGGGCAACATGGTCCTAATGACTGGGGCTGGGGGGAGGATCCCTAGGCTAAGAGTCAGGAGCCTGCACCTGACTTGCTTTATGACTTCACTGGGCTTCAGTGCCCCGTCTGTACCTCGAGGAGACTGGGGTCATGGTCTCTGATGCTCTGGTTCCTCCCCAGGTGAAGGCTTTCGTCACCCAGGACATTCCATTCTAGTATCCTTCTGTTCTGGGGGAGGGGAAATGGGTTGGGCACCTGGGAGAATCTCCACTTAACTTAAGAAAGGGGTGGCAGATGGTTTTCAACTGACAAGTGGAATTGATTGGTAGTGGCCGCCCAGAGGATTCTGAGGTGGTCTCCATGTTGGGTGGGCAAGAGAGATTGACTAGTGATGACTGCCACAGAATGAACCCTAATTTTCTCACGTATAAGCGGAGACCCTGGCCCCACCCGGGCACAGAGTAAGCGCTCAGCAATGGAGGCAATGCTGTTCCCATCAGTAAGGCTGCGGGAACCACTACCTCCCTCTGCCCACCACCACCCTCCTTAACACCACCTCCAGTCACAACCTGGTGATGAAACACCTCCCTGGGGCCGACCCTGAGCTCGTGCTGCTGGGCCGCCGCTACGAGGAACTGGAGGTGAGGCCGTGGGAGGCGGGCTGGGGGCAAGGCCAGAGGTGAGACCCAGTCTGCTGACCCCGCTCCTCCTCCGCCTCAGCGCATACCGCTCAGTGAAATGACCCGCGAAGAGATCAACGCGCTGGTGCAGGAGCTCGGCTTCTACCGCAAGGCGGCGCCCGACGCGCAGGTGCCCCCCGAGTACGTGTGGGCGCCCGCTAGGCCCCCGGAGGAAACTTCGGACCACGCCGACCTGTAGGTCCGGGGGCGCGGCGGAGCTGGGACCACCCTGCCTGAGTCCTGGAGACAGAATGAAGCGCTCAGCATCCCGGGAATACCTCTCTTGCTGAGGGCCAATGCCCCGTCCCCGGGCCAGCAGGGATGAAAGGTTCTCCCAACCCCTTTCTTCCCTCCCCAGCTCCACTAAATTCCCTCCTGCCTTAACTGAGTCTCGACTCCTTCATTGCTTGCTGCGAGGGGATGGGGTGGGAGGTCGAAAGAAGAACCTCTGAGGACCCCAGCGGGACCTCGCATTCCCAAGTGCCTGGCTGCTGGAGTTGGAGACCTTGCAGAGCCGCCTTCGGTTCAAACCCCCTCCCCACCCCCAGGAGACGCAGGGAGGAGTCAGAATCGTTGAAAACCAATAATTTATCAAAACACTGCGTGTATGTGGGGGGAGGGTGTCGCGACAGACAGGGCAGCGGTGGGCGGGCGCACAGGGAGGGGACGGTGCCCGGAGGGTGGGGGCGGCAGCTTGCCACTGGCTGGCCATGCGAGCAGGGAGGCTAGACATTCTTGCCGCGCAGGCGCAGTTCATGGCGCCGCAGGTGGTTGTAGAGCGACTGCACATAGGTGAAGACACACTTGGGGTCAGGCTTCTTGCCCATGATCATCATGTCCTCCACCTCCACCAGGGGCACACAGTCCACTAGCATCCTGCAGGGAGGGGGTACGGGGGTGGATGTCAGCACCGGCCCCGCCTCTCGTGGCGCCCCTCTACCCCAAGGTCTTGTTTATTGCCGCATTGCCTGCTGGTCTTTAATAAACTCCAGGCAGGGAAAAGCCTTCTAGGAAGGCAGGAAGCCCCTGGCTTCATCTACCCAAGCCTAGAGGTATCCCTCGGGGCGGGGGAGCAGAGCTAGGCAGGTGGAGGCGGAGATGGCAGAAGAGAGCCCTATCCCAGTCAGGCAGGTCCTGGGTCTGTTTCCTCCAACTCTGGGGAGGAGCTGGCTCCAAACCCTGCCCGTGCTCTCCCTGGAGACCGCCTTCTGCTCACCCTCACTGGCACACTTCAGTTGGTAGAAGCCTCTCAGCTGGGCCTTTGCACCCAAATGGGCTTCATCACTGGCCAATCTTTCTCTATGGACATTTCTCACTCTAGTTAGCCTGTGGTCCCCTGATGATTGTCTGCTAGCTCCCTGACCCGGTACTTCCTGTTGAGAGGCCCAGACCCCTGTTCTTTGACAGGGGGCAGGGATAACCCTGCTGCTGGAGATGGAGGCCAGGGAATGTGTGGGCAGCAGAGGGGTTCTCTAACCCTTATCATCTGCCTTGGGTAGAGCAGGGGAGGCAGATGAGGATCCCAGCCAATACCAATGGACCATCTACACCATGCTCAGGGGTGGGACCACCCTTCTGGCCATCCTTCAGAATGCTAGTTGCCCTTCACAGATAAGGAAACTGAGTGACAGAGCAGAGGAGCGACTTGTTTCAAGCCCCACGGTTTAGTAAGTGCCGGTTAGGCCGCATGGGACCCAGGCCCCCAGTTCTGGGTGTTGGCAAAGCCTTTTCCCCACTCTGGAGTGAGTGGGTTGTGCCTATTAAGCAACTGACAGCCCCCAGAGCTCTGAAGCTGGAGTCTGCTCTCTGGCTCCCTTTCCCCTGTCCCTCAACCCCCAGAGCAAGACCTCTTCTGTCTTGATCCCTGTTTGCTCTCTCCTATCTGCCACACCTGGCACATAGCAAGCATTCAATGTTGCAGAATGAGTTTCCTATGGCAGGGAAGGCATAATGGCAAGAATTCCTCCTTATTCTCAAGACACCTGAGAACCCAAGACCACCTCCCATCTTGTGCCCTTATGGACAAACTCAGAACTGTGGTAGGGCTGGGCCTACTCCCAACTCACCTGGACTCCTTCAAAGAAGAAACCTGGGAGGCAGAACACCTCTGTTTTAGTCCAGACTCTATCCCTAACCAGTTGCGGGTGCTAGATAAGGCCCTTTTCTGTGACTCAGTTTCCCCCTCTTTAGAACAGGACAGTTATTCCCTATCTCATTTGAGACCTTACAAGAATTTAGGATGAGTGAGAGGGTTCTCGGTCTGCTGCTGCTGTGCTACGTGCCCCTGGGGTCATCCCTATCCCATACTGGGCTTGTTTCCCGAGCTATACCATGATGCAGAGGCAGCCTCTCTCTGAAGCTTCTTCCAGCTGTGGCTATCGTCCCAGGGATCCTGACCTCCCTCTCCAACCTGGTGCTCCCTCCCGCCCCGACTCCCTTCCCTGGAGACCTTATAAAGCCATTGTTTACACTGGGGCTCACGGCTCAGGGCTCAGGGCTCAGGCTGCCCCAGTGACAGGCCAAACACCAGGCAACTTGAGCAACAGCACGGCTGAGTCACACTTTCCAACTGGATCAGGGCTGGGCTGGGCCCCTCTCCCTTCAAGCTGGCTTGTTGGGCAGCAGCTCCTAAGTCCATATATGATCTGGAGATAGCACCAAGCCCATCCTCCCCTCATCTGCGCTCCTTCTCTGAGTGTGTGTGTGCACGTGTGGACTGCCCCCCATAATGGCTATAGGCCCCGAGGGGCATCTGAGTGTGCCCCTACCTGTCACTGACTCACATTCCTTCAGCCAATCCCCTTGCTCCTTCTGGGCCTCTATTTTCAATCCTCTCTACAAAATGGGCGGGAACGCAGTGATGGGGCAAGTGGGGAGTCTGGAGTCTCAGTTTCTGGCCCCACCTCTGAACTAACCATCTTCCCTCTCCCTCCCACCCCCAGGACAGTCTTAGCCCCTCTCTCTCTCTGAGCTCCTTGTCTGTAATGGGGTAGTTAGTTCAGGATCTGAATTCTCTACTTTGGTACTGAGGTGAGGTGACCAGAGAGGAAATGCCACAGCTGGCTTAGGATCCAGAACCCCCAGCCAGAAACATCTTCCTGTTGAACTGGTCCTGCCCCTGAGCTCCCCACTTTGGAGTATGGCACCACCAACTCTCCAGTGCCCACATAGGAGCCTGGCAGACTTCTTGACCTTCCCTCTCCCTCTCCAAACCAGATCTATTGGGAAGCCTGTCTCTCTCGCTCTTAAGCTATTCCAGCCATCTAGTCCATCCCGTCTCTCGTCCAAGCCTCATCCAAGGAAGGTCCTAGAATGCTACATCCATCCCTCCTCTGTTTGGAAACCTTTTATGACTCCTGTTGTCCTCAGGAGGAAGGTCAAATTTTTTTTTTTTTTTTTTGAGACAGAGTCTCGCCGTGTTACCCAGGCTGGAGTACAGTGGCACGATTTCGGCTCATTGCAACCTCTGCCTTCTGGGTTCAAGTGATTCTCCTGCCTCAGCTTCCTGAGTAGCTGGGATTACAGGCGTGTGCCACTACGCCTGGCTAATTTTTGTATTTTTACTAGAGATGGGGTTTCATCATGTTGGCCAGGCTGCTCTCGAACTCCTGACCTTGTGATCTGCCCGCCTCGGCCTCCCAAAGTGCTGGGATTACAGGCATAAGCCACCGTGCTCGGCCTGAAGGTCAAACTTCTAACTGTGGCCCCCTCCTCCTCCCTCATATCCAGACTCAAGTTTCTTCCCTTCCTGGTGTGCTGCGCTCTTCAGCTCTCTTGCCCTGCTAAGCCTAGGCTGATCCCTCTGCCTGGAACTCCCTCTCCCTCCTTTAGCCTGAACTTGTTCAGATCCCAGCTTAGTTTGCACTTTTTTCAGATGGAGGGCCCAGACCTGGGTCAGGCACCTCCCCTGGGCTTCCCCCATCACAGTGCTGCTCACCTGGGTCATCACCGCCCATTCAGAATGGTCTCGCCTTGGGCCCTGAACTACCAGAAGACAGGGCTATGTCTGGCTCCTCTGGCTTGACTAAATGCCCCCCTTACTTCTCCCACCCGCCTCCCTGGACCCTCTCTGTGCCTTGCTGAGCAGATTCTGGTGAAATGGGGCAGATGGGAGAGGCGGCGTTTCTCACCGTGGGGCCCCGAGCAGGGGTTAGGACTTTTTGGTTTTTACCAGCCCCTTCTGGACCAGACAGCGGTAGAACTCCTGGATGTACGTGTACACGCACTTCCAGTCAGGCTCTCGAAGCCGCACCATGTCCTCTGTATCCAGGAGCTGCGGGCAGTCCGCATGGGTCCTGGGGAGGGTAGGGGGCCGGGAAGGGGTGGGGGACGGGGGCAGGAGGCCAGGGCCCCAGGTGGGGAAGAGAGGGAAGAGGCAGAGAAGAGAGAGGGGAGGAAACAGAGACACACACATACACACACACACAGAGACATGAGTTCAATTACGATTCCAGTGCTGCAGTCTGCCAGCCCCCCGCATGCCGCCTCCCCACTGTGGACGTGCCGCTCACTACCCATCACTAATGGTGTGCAATGCAAACAGGGGTGGGGGCCAAACCAGTCACAGGTGCAGAGAACTCTAGGGGCAAGCGGGAACGCGGGGTGGGGTAAACGGCGTTGGCACCAAGGTTGGAGAGGAGGGCTGTGCCCCAGGGAGAGGGGGTGAGGGAGGCGTGAGAGGAGGTGGGGGGAGGAGGAGGAGGAGAAAGAGGAAGAGGAAGAAATTTGAGAGAAACCAGAAAGAAAAGGGGAGAGAAGGGAAGACAGATGGAGAAGGGTGCTGGGGGTGAGGTGAGCAGATGGGGCAACGATTCCAAAGTGGAGGGCTTGCTGAGGTCCTATATAAGCCTCTGGCAGCACTATATAGGCTGGGCGGGCACGGTGCCCGGGCCAGGAGCCTCCTTTTGGAATCTCCAGCCGGGATCCCGTGGGAGCAGGAAGCTCTGGTGATAGTGGGAGGAGAGCAGGACAGAGAAAGGGAGAGAGAGGGAGAAGGGGGCAGAGGGAGGATGGAGGGGATATGGACAGGGCCACCTGGTGGGCCTTGGCCCGGGCTGGTAGGCCGGCCTGTGGCTCCTTCGTTCCGGCGGGCACCTGGCACGCTCAGCAGCGGGTGGGCGGGGATGGAGAAGGACGGGGACTCTCTGGGGAAGGGGGTCTCAGCCGCTGACTGACCAAGTGGCCGGCCCGATCCAGGGGTTCTCAGGGCAACTGGGCCTGGTCCCGATGTCCAGCCCCAGATGTGCAGCAACATTAGCAGGGCCAGGGCCCACACTTACTCCGCAGATGAGAAGGCCACCTCGAAGTTCTGGCGTCGGTTCTGAGGGCTAAGCTGCCCATAGTCGAAGGCCTCAGGGAAGAAGTTGTGCACCAGGGCACAGAAGGCCATCCCATCACTCCAGCTGGAGGAGAAGTTCTGGATGTCGACATGCTATAAGCCGTAAGAGGACGGGTCAGGACCCTGGGGGCAACTCCCCGCTGCTGTCTACCCCTCAGCATTCTGGTATTCCAGACCTAGGGCACTGGGCACAGAGAGGCCCTGTAGCTTGCACAATGAGTGAATAGTTGGAACACGAGCCTCCTCCAAGTGAGTCTGTCAACTCCCATATTTGCGATTTCAAGGGACAGAGCTACTGAGAGGCCCAGCGCCACGCAGCTAAGGCCATGGTCATGCCTCATCACTCCTTCCCTGGTTTAGAGAAATTGACTCAGGGCCTCCTACAGAGCAACAAGGAGGGGACTCCAAGAGTGGGATCCGGCCTTGAACCCTGCCCACCACCCAAGAGGCCCTGTTACTTCATCACTGATGCTGGAATCTAGGGCTTGTCTTGTGTCCTCTTTGAGCCTCAGTTTCCTCACCCCAAGAGCCTTTCCATGTTCCTTGTGAGGCCACACAGTGGCGGGAAGTGTACTGGGGAATAAAAGGAGCTCTGCTAAGAGGGGGCTGCTGAGCTGGGGTCTGGGGTCTGGGGAGGCCTCCAGGCCCCCTGGCCTCCCGGGGCTCACCTCGTAGCCGCGAGTCTTGGCTCGGCACCAGTCCAGCAGCATCTGCTTGATGCTGTTGGCGTTGGGGACCCCGAAGCTGGTGGATCGCTGCACGGCTGCACGGGGTCCGCCAGGGCTGCTGTAGGGGCGGTGTCAGGACCAGGTCACACGACTATAAGGGGCGTGCCTCAGTGGGCCCACCCAGTGGATCCCAGGCCCCGCCTTCCGTGACCTTCGGGCCTTTGCACCACAGATCTAGCCGCGCGTTCTTCCCGCCTCTGCCGGGCCAACTATGAAGCCCCGCCCCCCACTGCCCAGCCCACTTCTGCAGCTTACCCGGCCGCTCCCTCCTTCTCCAACTTCTCAATCATGGCCTTGCGCGCCTGGGAGGCTGAGGTCTTGGGCAGACTCTGCGCCTTCATCAGCTCTTTCTTCTTCTCGGCCTGGCGTTTCTCGAGCGCCGCCAGGCTGCCGGCCCGTGGGCTAGTCTGGTCCTCGCGGTCGAAGATGCTAGGGGTTGGGGAGACGCATGTTAGGCAGGGAGTGGAGGGCTGCTCCCCAGCCTGGGCCACCACTCGCGAGGAGGAGGGGGTGTCTTGTGGCACACTAGTATCTCCACTGCCACAAACGCCTGCCAGGGAGGGAGGCGTCCTCATCACACCCATTTTAGAGTTCACGGAGGCTCAAATGACAGCAAGGTTTTCAATGGGTTTCCGCCTCCCCCTCCCCCACCCATGAGCAGTTCTCTGAGAAGGCTCATTGTACCCTCAAGTTACAGGTGAGTTCAGCTTCTGGGCACTATCCGCTAATAAAAATGACTAACATAATAATAATTCATCTCTGTTGATCCTTTCCTGTGTGCCATTTTAAATTTCACAAGAGCAGGGAGGGGCCTTACCAATTCCACTAAAGGTGAGGAAACTGAGACCCCCCGCAGTAACTTGCCTATGATTTCAGAGGACGTGATGGCCAGAACTAGAACTTGAACAAAGTCTCTCTGACTCAGAGTCCCTGGACCCCTTTGATTCCCATCCTGGATTCTGATCCTGTTCCTGCTTTCTGCCAGCCCCAACAGCCTCTGTTACATGCGGGTGCCCTCCTTCCTCATGGGGCTAAGGTATAAAGGTGCTCTGTGACCTGGGACATGGTTTGCAGATACTGGCAAGTGGCAGTGCCACCAGGCAGCTCAGTGTGGTAGGTAGGCCTCTCTAAGGCTTCAATGCTATTGTGGCCACTCAGAGATGTGAACCCCTAAGCAACTCACTGGCCTCCCTGAACATCCACCTCTCCTGTGGTGTGGTTGAGAATAAAATGAGATCCCAAAACGAGCAGGATCCTTAACTCTCACTTTGTCCCTCCCTGGCTACAGACCTGTTACCTCCAAGCATCCCAGTCTACCCCTCTATTTTATTTATTTGTTTGTTTGTCTATTTATTTATTTTTGAGACTGAGTCTTGCTCTGTTGCCCAGTCTGGAGTGCAGTGGAGTGGTCTCAGCTCACTGCAACCTCCACCTCCCGGATTCAAGTGATTCTTGTGCCTCAGCCTCCCCAGTAGTTGGGATTACAGGTGCCTGCCACCACGCCTGGCTAATTTTTGTATTTTTAGTAGAGATGGGGTTTCACCATGTTGGCCAGGCTGGTCTCGAACTCCTGACCTCAAGTGATCCACCTGCCTCGGCCTCCCAAAGTGCTGGGATTACAGGCAAGAGCCACTGTGCCCGGCCTACCCCTTTGTAAAATGGGTTTGCAGTTAGGTCCCCTGTGGCACTGACTCCTCTATGGTCAGGGATTGGGTGCTGGTGCTCACCTGCCCATCTTCTTGGATGAGGAGGAAGAGGAGAAGGTCTTGGTTTGCATCATGGTGCTGCCACTGCCATCTGCAGAAAAGGGGAAGGGGCACCAGATGAGGGCTGGGGCTGGACATCAGGAGATGGGATGAGAGGCTGTATGGAGGGATGGTGATAGCCGCAGGCAGAGAAAAGAAAGTGACGGCACAGTTGAAGACACGGAGAGAGAGCTCAAGGAAGAGCCGGAGGAGGTAGGCGGACAGGCAGGCAGGCACAGGGCGACGCCAGGTGGTCTTACTCTCCGAGCGCCTCACGAAACTTGACTCCACTGTGGTGGTGCGGGCCGTCCGTGTGCCATCATCTGCAGGGGCAGGGGATGAGAAGGATGTGAAAGGCACAGGGAGCCGGGGGAGGATGTGTTCCCACCCTGAGCTCTGGGCCCCATTTGGCCCCTTACTGGAGTGGACGAGCCGCTCAGTCTTGGTAACAGTGCTGACAGCAGAGCCATCAGCTGCCCGCTGGCTGTGCCTCGTGGTGGTCTCACTGGCCGTGTTGCCGCGGCCCTCCCCTGGCCGGCCCCGTGCCTCCTGCAGCCGCCGTTCCCGCTCCTTGTCCCGCTGGTCTGGGCAGGTGATGCCCCGTGCATGCACAAAAGGGCCACCAACACCCACACAGCACAGATGCACAGGTGCATGGGGCACACAAGATGGGGTGGAGGGTGGCTTGTTAGAAACATGAATGACACAGGTAACAAGGGCCTCTCTAGGAACAGCTGGGGCGAGGGGACAGTCATAACTTGACAGGGAATTGAGTGTGGGAAGGGGCTGATGGACTCAGGCAGAAACTAGAGAATACGGAATAGCTAAACTCAAAGGGGTATGGATCCAAGAAGGGAGTTTCTATAGAAATGCGTAGCTAAGTCAGGAGAGATATCTAGATCCAGTGAGGGGGTAGCTGAGTCTAAGAAAGGAGAAGCTGAATGAGGAAGTAGCTGAGTGGGCCATCAGTGGGTCTTTGGTTGGAGAAGAGCAGCTGGAGAGGCAGGAATATTTAGATCCAGGAAGGGAGCAATTGATGGGAGCTGAGAAGCAATCTGATCCAGGGGAAGAGTAGCTGGGAGAGAAGCTAGTGAAGGGGGTTAACTGGGCTTAAAACAGAAGTAGGTGGGTAGAGATAGAGACTGGGGTGGCCATCAGTGGGCCCTGGCAGAAGCAGCTAGATTCAGAGAAAGAGTAATTGCGAGTATTTGAGAGGAGAAGCAATTGAACCCAGAATCTAAGGGAATGAACAGATGTGTCCAGGGAAGAACTATCTGGGGGAGGAAGTAGCTGTGTCCAGGAAAAGGGAAGCTGGATGGGGCAGAGGCTAAGATGGCCATCAATGGACTTCAGGGAGAGAGGAGCAGCAGGGAGAAGGAATATCTGGATTCAGGGAAGGAGTCGTTGACAGTACTTTGAGAGGCAACTGGATCCAAGGAGAGAGTAGCTGCGGGAGGGAGTGTCTGGGTCTAGGAAGGAGAAGAGAAGCTGGTTGGGAAGAATAACTGGGGTCGCCAGCAGGAGAGAAGGAGCTAGGGAAGGGAACAGCTGGATCCAGCGGGGAATAGCCAAGGGAACTGCTGGATCTAGAGAAGGAGAAGCTGGGTAGGGCAGTTATTAAGCTGGGGTATCCACAAATGGACCCCAGAGTATGAGGGGAGCAGCTGGGGAATGGGGCAGCTGGATCTAGGGTAGGGCAACTGGCTCTCTACCTCTCTTCCTTTGTCGGAGCTCACGAAGTGCAGCCCGGATGAGCTTCCGCTCTTCAAAGTCCGTGCTCTGATCCAGCTGCATATAGAGCCCGTCATTGGCTACCTGGTGCCTGCTGGCCTCTGCCAACCCCCAGCCCACCAGATCTGGCCATACCATTTTGTCCAAGACTCCTTCGTCCTCAATAGTCATCAGCTCCTCAGCGCTCAGAGGGCTCCGCCCCTCTGGTGCTTTGTTCACTCGGGTCTGCTCGGCCCCATTGGCTGCTTCCACTGCTGCAGAGGGAGGCTCTGCTGGCTCTGGTTCCATCTGCAGGGTGGGGAGAGGGCATGGATTTTAAGCAGGGGCAGGGGCATCCATGCCCCCAATGGATAGGAGAGCAGATCCTAGGGTTGCTGGCATGCCTTGGAAATAACCGCTAGCCTGCCAGCCTGCTTGCCCAAAGATGGCCATGTCAGTGTCAGTCAGGGAAGAGACACTGACAGCCTTGTTGTAGGGCTTCCCATGTACCCAGAATTGTATTAATACAATGGATAGTAATAATAATGATGATTTCCAGTCCATAGTAACGTTGTATAAGCACTAGGGATTTTACTGTCCCTATTTAACAGAAGGGAAGGCTGGGCGCAGTGACTCATGCCTGTAATCTCAACAGTTTGGGAGGTCGAGGAGGGAGGGACCACTTGTTGCCAGCAGTTTGAGACCAACCTGGGTAACATAGCGAGACCACATCTCTACAAAAACAAAAATAAAAAATTAGCTACGCATGGTGGTGCGCACCTATAGTCCCAGCTACTCAGAAAGCTGAGGTAGGAGGATCACTTGAGCCCAGGAGTTAGAGGCTGCAGAGAGCTATGATCACGCAGCTGCACTCCAGCCTGGGCAACAGAGTAAGACCTTGTCGCAAACAAAACAAGACCAGAAAAAACAAAACAAAACACACACACACACACACACACACACACACACACACACACAGAGAAGGGAAAACTGAGGCTCAGGGCAGCTAACTGACTTGCCCACAGTCTCTCTCTAAGTGTGACACAGCCTGGGATCTGAGCTGAAGGTAGCCTAACTCCTGAACCTCAGTTCATTTTGCTGCTTTGTTCCCAGCCCCCTCCCAGGCAGGCTCTGCTCTGTGCTGCCAGTTCCCGAGGCCTGGGTCCTCCTGGGCCAGTGCCCAGGCAGCACATGTTGCCCCCCATCTGCCTGCCACCTTGCCAAGGGGGTTGGCCCAGGGCCCGTAGGCTCCTGACCAGGTGTCTGACTGGGGCTGCCCTGAGCCAAGACCTCTATGAAGTTCTCCTCTGTACCACCTCCCCATGCCTCACCCCTGCTGGAAACCATCCTCTAAGGAGTCTCCAGCCCTGTAGCCCTCCCAGGGCATCTCCCTAGCCCCTTGAAGACAAGGCCCCAGGCCAACTATTATGGCCCTTCCTCTCCTGGCAGGGCCTCTCTGTCTGCTATAAGGGTAAGGAGAGCTGAGGTGGCAGCTGTTTCAGGGAGGCTTGGTCTAGCCAGGGTGCAGGGCGGCAGGGAGCTGGGGGCTGGGGCCTGGGTCATGCCAGAGGCTGCCAGGGCAGCTACCATGCGTGCCTCAGGGCTGGAGCCTGGCACCCTCTTGCCCTAGTCTTAGAGCACTAGTGCCCCAGTCCGCTGTCAAGATAGGTAAACTGAGGCTCAGAGAAGGTGGTGACATATCTAAAGTCACAGCGGAGGCAGAGCCTGGCTCAAACCCTCCCCCTCCCACCAACCCAGAGGGACTTACAAGACTAGTGCTGCGGGTGGTGCAGGTGGAGGAGCGGCGGCGGGTGCTGAAGGCAGGTGGGTGGGCCACAGGGGTCCCAGCATCCTCGGCAGCCTGGAAGAGGGCCTCGGGGTCGGCGGCAGCCAGGAGCAGCTCGCTGGGCTCCAGCTCAGGCTCGAGGCCGGACACAAGTGGGACCCCTAGCCGTAGGCTCAGCACCTCCACCTGCCTGCTCAGTGCATCCAGCCGCCGGCTCAGTGCTGCTCTCTCTGCCCGCAGTTCTTCAGCTGCCCGGGCCACTGGCTCCACGGTGGCTACAGCTACCTCGGCTGCCTGGGTCACTGCCGCCCGACCTGCCTCAGCCACCGCCCGCAGCTCCTCCAGTGCCCGGCCCAACTGCTCCTCAAGGGCTGAGGCCAGTTCAGGCCCAGGCCCTGGTACCCCCGGCATGGTGCTGGTGGGGACGCTATGGGGGGTAATGGTGGGGCAGTGGCAGGGGCTGCTGCTTCTGGCTGACAGTGTCTGAGTCTTTGCAGCTGGTCCGAGGGCAAAGGCAAGGGCAGCGCGGGCCTGCCCCGCCCCTGCCTCCCAGCCCGCCACCAGCCAGCTGGAGCTGCAGCCCAAATAGAAACCTATTCTGGGCTCCTCCGTGGAAGGGGCAGTGGGGGAGGGGGGCATGCCCAAGCAGGCGGATCGCCAGGCCTGGCTCTAGCCCTGCAGAAATCATAGGCCTGCAGCACAGTAAGACTGCCTGGGTTCTGAAGATCACTGAGATCAGGGCCCCATGCCTCACAGGTGGGGAAACTGAGGCAGGGAACAGGTAATGGACCTGAGCCACCATGTACATTAGCTGTGAGAATCAGTCTGCTGGACTCCAGAGCCTGCACTCCTTTACCCTTTACCCTAACTCCAGCGGTTTTAGACAGCTGGAACAGATGGGGGAATGGAGGCACAGGGAGGCAGGACTTTGAGTGATCTGCTACAAAAAGTGTCTTGGTCTGACATAAAAGCCCTCTGGCCTGCCTATGGTGCTCACATCCAACCACAGGCTTTGAGCAAGCACGTTATAGCACATCACCTGTCCTCTTTGGTTCCAGATGAGTAAACTGAGGCAAGTTGGTAGTGTCAGACCCAGGTCTCACTGGAGCACCTCCCATCCACCTCAAGGGCCTCAGCTGGTCCCCCCACTCCACCCTACACAATCCCTTGTCAGAAGGCAGCTGGATCCTGCTTTTTTGGAAAGGAAGGGTGCTTTATTTCCCTCACTCTCTCCCTGTCTCCCATGAGAAGGCCCAAAGCTGGCCCTAGCCATCTCACCTCAGCCAAAGTCCTGTTCAGTCCCTGGTTCAGCACAGAGGGCATTACCTGGGCAGCCGGGTGGCCCGCTTGGGGATCCCTTCCCCGACTGAGCTCCCAGCTAGTGGATCCTGGGCTTGGGAATTAATAATGGAAGCGTGCTGCGTATTCAGTTCCCAAGGCACCTGCTAGGCTGCTGCCTCACCTGATTGGCGCCCCCCTGCCTGTCTGTCCCAGCTTCTGCCCAACCCCCACAGGGGGGTTGACGCAGATGTTAATCACTAATCTCCAATCTCCTAATGGGCCAGGCTGATCTTGGATGAGCAGATGAGCTGCTCTATACCTCAGGGCTGATGTCCAGTGTGGGTGGGCGCAGGGGCACTGGGGCTGCCACAGGAAGAGGGGAGCAAGCCCTCACCACCCTCTGAGCCTCAGTTTCCCCATCTATTCACCAGGAATGAACCAACCAATTTCGGACTAAGGATCAGAGATCAGCATCCAGGAAGTTTAACGCCAGTACAGAGTAAGCTTCCGACACACTTAGGGGCTGATACACTAGGGTCTGGCCTTAGCTCTGCCACCAACTGGCTGTGGTCTGTGAGCAGCCACCTTCCCTCTCTGGGCCTCGGTTTCTCTGTGTGTTCAGTAGGGGAGGAGCAGAGGAACCCTACTAACCCCACACCCTGAAGCAGTGTATGTGAGGCTGACGGATGGTGAGACTGGTGGGGTGAGGAGGGGCTCACCTTGACGCTGCAGCCTCCTCGGCTACTGGGGGGGGCATGGCTGAAGCTGGTGACATGAGTGACACTGCCCAGCCGAGCCAGGGTCCCAGGGCTGTTGACACGAGTGATGGTGCTCTTGCCCCCACTACTGGTGCTGAGTAGGGTCGGGGGCGCCCGCAGCCCCAGTGTCAGTTCTGAGTGGGGAGAAAGGCAGCTGTCAGGAGGATTAGGTGGAGTGAGGGCAGTGCCAGACAAGGTTGATAGTGCCCTCGCTCCCAGCACACCCTTTGGAGACACCCTGAGCTCTGGCCGCAGCACCTGTCCTGTATGCAGAAGTGCGGTTGCAGGCACTCATCCCCATTGGGGAGGCAGTTGGGGGGCCTACCTGCCCTCTGGTTGCCTGTGGGCAGCAGCACCCGGCCTGTGGAGGCCTGGCCACGGCCGTCCTTGATCTCGATGGTGAATGTAGTCTTCATACTGCCCCCTGGCTCGGCAGTGCTGACGGCCACGGGCAATGGGGCACCAGGCTCCTCTGAACGTGCCACAGGCCCCCCTGCTCCGTTTTCAAGGGGCCTGGGAGCCAAGCCCCGCCCCCTGGGGCCCTCCTCCTGGGAGCAGCTTCGAAGCTGGGCCAGGGGCTGGGCTACTCCTTGTTGCTCCTTGCTGAACCGGGAGGAGGTATCACTGCGGCCCCGAGAGGAGGAGCCGCTGGAGGAGGAGGCAGGGGTGGTACTGGTGAGGGAGGGGCCCACGAGCCTTGCGGGGGTCAGGGGACTTAGGGCAGCCCGGGGTGTGCCATCCTGGAGCCTAGCAGCCATAGGAGAATCTGATGTGAACTTGTGGACACGGTCCCGCACAGAGCCAGCCTGCTGGAACGAGGAAGGTCTGCTGGCAAGGGGGGTGGACTCTAGAAGGAACAGGAGGGCTGTCAGCGACTGGGTGGGACAGGGTCTGCCCAGGTCCTAGGCAGTGTGAGAATAAGTAGTACCTCGGTTCTGGGCTGGCTGGTGGGGGCTGAGCACCGACAGGGAGCGTTGGCAGGGTCGGGGTCCAGCCACGTCTGGCAGGTTGGGGAGGGGGTGATGGCCATGTGGGGAAAGAGAAAAGACAGGCGATAGTGGGGGTCCAACTCTCATAATCCTCTCCTCTACACCTCCCTAGCCTCCCACCTTTCCTATACTCAACCCCCACTCCACCTCTCCATCCCCTCCTGGATCTCCTACACTCCGGCATCCCCACTCGGCAGCGTCTCTCCTACAGGCACCTCTTCCCCTCCCACACTGACCCTAGGATGACTTGGGACACTCCTGGGGGCTGGGCGAGGCTTAGGCTGGAGGAAGGATGCCCAGATCCTTCCTGCAGATGGGGAGGGGGGACAGCCCCCCTGGCCAGTGCTGCCCACAGCTCCAGCTGGGAGATGGGTGGACTCCCTTATTGGGGAGAAGAATGTGCCTGAGGCCTGTTGCCTTTCAAGGCTGCAGGGGAGGCCTCTAACCATGGGGGTGGAGGGGGAGGTGGGCCTAGCTGGGGGCGGGGACACTTCAGGGGTGGGGTGCAGTATCAGGGACTGCCTCGACCTGAGGAAGTTGGAGCTGCCTGGCACAAGAGCCCATTCTCTAGGCAGGGAAAGGGAGGCTGGGGGAGGAGAAGGCAGATGCCTGTGACTACCCCTGCTGGGACCCTCACCTGCTCTCTTGGTGTCAGAAGGGCCTCTGGTGGAGCTCTGGGCAGCAGGGGTCTCTTTGGGGCCAGACAGAAGCTGCAAGGGAGAAGAACACAGCATGAGCAAGGCCTGACTCCCAGACCTGCTCACTTGCCTGGCATCCCTGCCCCTCACCCAGACTCACCTTGTTGACCACCTGGCCCTCAGTGCTGGTGAGCGTTGGAGACTCCTGAGGCTCAGGGCTGGTGGTCTTGGGTGGGCTGGGGGGTGGCTCTGGGGCGCCTGGAACCTCGGCTGTAAGGCACTGGGCCTCGGCAGGCTCCAATGGAGGCTCAGGAGAGGCAGCGGTGGGTGAACTGCTGGGTGAGGCAGGTGAGCTGGATGTGCTCCCAGGTGGGGCTCGCAGCAGGAGTGTCACTGTGGTCACATCCTGGCTGGTGCCTTCAGGGGTGGGAATTGGCTTTGAGACCTCTGTCTGCTGTTCCTGTTCCTCTCGCTCTGGCACCTGTAAGGGACCCATAGGATATAACCAAGGCTCCCTAGGCCTCGAGTGCCAACCCCACCACTGAGGGCCAGGCTGGCAAGTGCCCAGGGCAGGGCATGCAAAGCAGAGTGGTGGGGCATGGCTTCCTGTAGGCACACCTGCGCAAGCACTGGCAATGATATGCTAAGAGCAGTCTCTGATCCCCATTTCCCAATCTCTTGGCACTACCTAGCCAAAGGGGTTCAGAGAGAACCCGGTCCTGATGTCAGAGGGTGGGTATGGCAGGAGACCTATTGGGGACGAGAGCTTAATAGATCCCTGGAGTGGAGGTTCCTGACCCCTGGCCTCAGCCTGATTCATCTGGAGTGGGAGTGGGGTCCTGCCAGGACTGTGGACCCAGCGGCCTCTGCTGGCCACTTAGGGAACCTGCATGGCCCGACCTCTCACCCACACTCTGGAGAACAGAGAGTGAACTGTGAGACAGCTGGGGTCTGACATGCAGGCCCCATAAGCCAAGGTAAAGATGTGGGCTGTGTTGAGGGTGAGGGGCAGCCCTGGGATGGGTTGAAGCAGGGGAGGTGCCAGGGCCAGATTTGCATTTCTGCGAGATCCCTCTGGCCGCTGAATAGAGGCTGGAAGGCAGGGGTGGGCCCCTTACAGTCAAATACCAGCCTAGCAAAGACACACAGGTGCTCTATGCTACTGGCATCCATGGGCACAGGACACTGGGCCACCCTCCCACCCTCCTTACCTCACACTGTTCCAGCCTGTGTGCCACTCGCCCCTTGCTGTCCTCTCTTAAGCCACTGTTGGGACGCGCGCTGCACAACCTCCCAGCCAAGGTGGCAGCTGGAAGGGAAGGAGCAAGTGTTAGGTGAGTAGTGGGGAGGTGCTGTGGACAGCAGACAGCAGGGCAGGGGTGGGGCCAGGACAGGCCACATACCCTCAATCTCCTGAGCCCGTACGCGGCGGATGGCAGCTCGGATCAGCTTGCGCTCCTCATACTCACCAGCGCTTCGCAACTGTGGGTGACAGGCAGGCTGCGGGTGTTGGGCTGTGGAATCCAGGTCTTCACCTGCCCTGCCCCCATCCCCTGCCCCAGCCTGGGCCTCACCAGTGCAGTCAATTCCTCTACATCGTTCATGGACTCCAGCTGCCCTGCCAGCCGTGCCAGGGCAGCCCGCTGCTCAGCTTCCCGCTGCTGAGAGCTGCAGAGACATCATGACTGTAACCACCACTGCCATGGCCAGGTCGTGGAGGATGTGGGCTAAGGGTAGGAGTCAGAACAGAGTACCCAGAACCTTGGCAGAAGGGTATGTGGCTGTGCACACCCTCTGACTGCACACTGATACACATATGCCCATGGACATGGGCACTAATACCACGCACTCAGACGTGCCGTCTACACCAGCACGGCCGCGACGCCACAATCAGTACATGCCCCATGCCCACAAACATCCCTGTTTTTCCAGAAGCGTGTGTGGACGTACTGCCATTGGCACATGCAGTCCACAGATACACTTGTGCTCACGCCTGCCTGCACACATGAGTTGAGCTGGGGCGCACACTCACCCTCTCACCCGCATGTTCCACCCCCCGCTACTCACTGCAGCCAGTTCTCCTTGTTGTCCTGCCGCTCGGCACGGAAACGCTTGGATGCCAGGGCCTCCTCCTCGCGCTCCAGCTCCTGCCGCTGCAGTTCCCGGATGGCTGAGCGGATGCGCCGCCGCTCTGCCAGATCTGCTGTGACCTCCAGCTGCAGCGGGGGCGAGGGGCAAGTCATTTTGGCTGCCAGGGGCGGAGGGCTGGCACCAGCTGCCCACGGGCTCTGCCTGGGGCACAATATGTGGCCTGTGTCCACTCCCTCTGTCCCAAGCTCTTCACGTGCCTGCCTGCCCACGCGGGGTCTCGGGGGTAGACCCAGCCCACTGTTTCAGGACTCTTGGGGAGCCCACTTTGCATTGTGGTTCACAGAGCACACGACTGAGTGGACAGTCAGAAACTGCCCACCTGTGCCAAATGCCAAGCCAGGCACTCCTTTCTACAACTCGATTCCTGCCCCTCAGAGCCCAGATCCCCAAAAGCCAGGGAGCTACTGCAGGAGGAGGAGGAGGAAGGCCACCCTATGAGCCACTAACAGGGTCCCTAAAGGGAAAGGTGAGAGCTGAAGTCTACCCTCTGAGCAAGGGAGGCTCCCATGGTCTAGTGACCAAACACCACAGCCCACCTGGGGGTTGACTGCTTCATCCACAGATGGGGAAAGTGAGGGCAGGTGCTCAGGAGTCCTGCCTGGCTGAGGGCTATTGTCCCCACTGCACTGGCCTGGCCCTAGCCACCATCGAAGGAGCCAGGGCGCAGAGTGGAAGGACCAATTCCCCAGACATATAAGGTAGCTGGCACTAGGGGCCACCCCAGGGCCTTAGAGAGGGCATCCCTGGGTGACAGGTGCTCCTACCAGGTTCTCAGCCCCTCAGTTCCCAGGAAATTGGGGGTGACTGGTCTAACCAGGTTCAGGAAAGAACACCTTCTCTGGAGTGAGTCAGCCAATCCTGTTGCCTCCCCCACACCTCCACCATGTAGAGCCACCCCCTACAGATCCTCAGTCCTCAAGAGGACTGGCCCAGGGTTCCCCTGGAAGATAGTGGCAGAGATAAGCCTCCAGTGTGGGTCTGATAACCAGATGGGAGCCAGTAAAGGCGGGGTGATTTCCTCTGTCCCCACCCCTCAAATCATTCAGGGGTAGGGCCAAAGAACCCTCTATCATCTCCCTTTTTAGCACCCTCCCATCATTCCTTTCTGCTTAGTGGGAAGGCCAGGTGGCAAGGGTGGGGATGGAATGGAGATAGTTTTCAGCAGGGAGTGTGGGCTGGCCCAACTCAGCCATGAGCCGGCTTGTCCTAGTCTGAAGAGAGCAGGGAGAGTCTTGGGGGAAGAGCCCTCCAGGGTCCACGTTCCTGAGGAATTATGAGAAGGCCCCCCGAAACTCAGGCCAGAGCCCCCAGTTGGTTCCAGCTTGGCTGGGTGATTAGGAGCATAACCCTTAAACTCTCTGCGTCTTGGTTTTCTCATTTGCCGGTGGGTGGGGTTGGGAACAGTGACTTGGGTTCTCCTGTACATAGCTGGAGTTGCAATAAGCATCACCCCCATACTTGGTTCTAGCCAGTCAGGGGAAGGGAGAGAGATGAGAGGGCAAAAAGGAAGGGCAGCATATCCCGAGGCATCAGTAACATTTATGGAGAGCCTGTGAGTTGAACCCTGTGCTGAGTCCCCTACTTGTCCTAAACCCACAAAAACCCTAGATACTGTGTTATTCCCATTTGACAGATGAGGAGATTGAGGTCCAGGGAGATGTGATTTGCTCATGGTCAAACGACCTGAGCCAGGATTTGAACCCAGGTCTCTCTGACTCCAGGGCCTGCACTAGACTGAGGATAGCTCTGCTATTGGGGTCTGTTTGTCATGGTGGGGACCTCAGGGATCCTGGCACTGTGTTGGAGACCCCTCTAGCCTGGACTAGAGATGCTCTGAGGCCTAAGGAGACCTTATAGCAGAGGCAGGGGGAATGAGGCTCACTCCCCAGCCCCCGGTCCTGGCTGTGTCTCAGGCCTAGAGCCTCCTGTGGTACATTTGGAGACTGGGGGCTGGAGGGGACAGAGAGTCCAGCCCCTTCTGTACAGAGGGTAAAGAGGCCCAGAGGGGCAAGGGCTAGCCTTTTGTCTCCTAGGTCCCCATTCTCAGTGCTCTGCGCTCTGAGATGGGGTCCTTGTCCCTGACAAAAGTCTGATGTAGGAACTTGGCCACCTCTACAACACAACCCCTGGAGCTTCAGTGTCCCCATCTGGAAAATGGGAGCCTCCTTCTGATCCCCCATAGTGGGTGGGCAAGGCTGGGGACTGACAACCTCATTCCACTGGTCACCCTCTGGCACGACCCTTACCTTTGGGCCTGGAGGCAAAGGTTGGACCACAGTGTCTCCTCTGTTCCACCCTCCCAGGCCCCACCGCTGTGTAAGGAGGGAGCTGTGGGAGGGAGGGAAGGAAGTACAAAGCGCCATTGTCTACTGAGGGGGAAGGGGAAGGGGATGGGGCGGTTTCCGAAACTGCCCAGTGAAATTCTCCCGGGAGGAAAGAGGGTGCTTCCTCCCCCTGGGGGGCCGGCTCTCCGTGTGCTCTCTGCCCTCGCTGCTGGGAAGCCTGGCAGGCCCTGAGGTCTCGCTGGGCCTCAGTCTCCCCAACAGCACAACGGAGGGGACTCTCCAGGGTTTCTCCCAATCCCAGCTCCCCCAGTTGCCCATGGGGGTCCCGCCGGCGGTGGAGCGAGGCCTCGCCAGGGGGCGCTGAAAGCCCGCAGGCTCTGCGACCGCATTCCCTCGCAGGGTGCCGCCCTCGCCTGGCCCACCCCGCCTCGCGCTAGGCGCCGAAGGGGGAGCCAGATATGAAGACACCCGCTACCGCCTGCTTCGGTGTCCCGACCTAAAGGGACGAAACCAAGGTCCCCAGGATACCCAGCTGAGTGACGGAGGTCCAACTGGAACTCGGGACCGAGGGGAGGGCGTCCCGGCTGGTGTGGAGGGGCACGCGGCGTGCAAGTCCCCAGGCGCCCCCATTCCGCCCATTCCCCGCCCAATCCTCAAGAATGTGCGGGAGCCGGGGCCGGAAGCGACTGCCCGCATCCCCAAATCGGCCAGACGCCGGGCGCAGGGTGGGCGGAGCGGGCCCAGCTTTTCCTTATAAGGCCCGGCCCCGCGGGGAGGAGCCCGGTTCGGGACGCCCCCGTTCTTGCCACGAGGCCAGCGGGGGCCGGGCCGGCGCGCGGGGCGCAGTAATGGCGGGCGCCGGGTGCTGGAGGAGCGGCACCAAGCCTGAGACCGGGACAGGTTCTCATCTGTTCTTTCCCAGAAATTGGGGCGTGAGTGGACTGACTTCAACCACTGCTCCAGCTTCTTCTCCGAAACTTTTCTCAGCGCCGCCCGAGCCTCGCATGAGAGAGGGAGGTGGCGGCTGAAGAACTCTGAGCCTGACTGTGGACACCTTGAGATGACGATGCGCGGGAACCTGGCCTAGCATTCCCTCTTTTTGGGCTGCGCAGACTCTGTGACTCCCACTGGGACTTGGACTTCCTGAGGGGAGGTCGAGCTGACTGGTGGGCACCTTTGGAAACCCAACCCCATCCCCTCCAGGCTGCACACATCCTGCGGTGATAGTGGAGAGGCAGACACCCAGAGAGTCTAATGCACTGGTCTGAGAACATACAGGCAGGAGTGCCTTGGGGAGGTTATGGCAGCAGCTGGGCACTGCCCAGTGGCTGGGCTACGCTAGCTGGTTCCAGCCTCTGCCTGCAGGGGAAGGCATGAGACGGGGGTGGGTCACTTGTCTTCTAGGTAAGGTAAATCTTTAATTTACCCCCATGGACAAGGTTCAGGGACTGGGGAGATGGAGCTCCTCTGGCCCCTCCTCCAGGTCAGGCTGCCTGGTCTTGGGGGTTGGGGGAGGCGCCCTGCCCCACCGGGTTGCCCTGCAGCCTCTCTGTGCATGGGGATAGACAGGGCTCTCAGGAAGAGGAACAAGAAAGGGGATGGAGTGGGCTCATCTTTCTTCTACCTGAGATCTGGGTCCATGCCTCATTCTGTACCCATGCCAACTCTAGGACCTAGAGCTTGTGTGCACACACATCTCCTTCCCTCCCTCCATTTTACAGGTAGAGGAACTGAGACTCAGGAGTAGAAAAATGAGATGAGAAGCCACAGAATCCATAAGGGCCCACAAAGCCTGTTTCTCTCTTATGGCCTCGTCCAGCCTTGACTTTCCCAGGACTCTGGTGCCCCGTGGCCCACTATGGGGTTGGGATTTTGGCACAGCTCCTTCTTAGATGGGTGTCCTTGAGCAGGTGATTTCAACTCTCTTGAGTTGCAGTGCCCAGGCTTTCAGAGCTGCTGTAATTATTCTGTGACATGGTATATATACCCAGTACCCAGCATGCCCCCTGCCAGGCCTTGGCATTGTTAATCATTGCTGCTACCAATATCACTGGGCCAGCTTCCAGGGGTGGGCACTGCCCCAGCTATTGCTCTGGAGAGGCATATCCAGCCTCACCACACCTGTGGCTGCACATGGGCGAGTCCACAGCAGTTACTGTTTAAACAGGTGGTGGCCATGGAGGGCTGGGAGGGACTAGGCTTCAGCACCTGGCATGGACAGGCACATGCCACAAGGGCCTCTGCATCAGCCACATGGAACTGGCCCACCTCTGTTCCCGTGTCCCCCTCCTCCTGACCTTTCCCCCATCACTTCTTCCTGTTAGCTGAGAAGTATCCTGGATTGACCCTGCCTCTCTGGCTTGGCTTTCCTGTCCCCACAGTGGGTGATGGGGCCACTTACCAGCTTCCGAAGGGCTCCCTCATCCAGCCCAGCTAAGGCCTCGTCTGCCATCTCACTGGCCCCTAGCTCCGTTGGTTCCTTTCTGGTGAGATCCCCAGTGCCTGTGGCACCTGTCACCAGCTCAGAGGATTCTGCAGGGGACAGACATGAATCAGGCATGCTGGGGCTTCTAGAAACCACAGACCCTTAGGCTCTGTTCCTTACTTTCCCTCTCTAACCTAGGAGCGTCCATTACTGTCCCATCCTGTAATGTGGCTCCTGGCTGGAAGTTGCCCTCTGCCCTAGGGTGGTTTGCTGGAAAACTCAGCAAACCCAGGGTAGGGGGTCTTTGGTTCCAGCCCTGCCAGCTTGGCCACCAGTCTGCTGTGTGGCCTGGGATGGACTCTCATCCTGTCTAAACCTCAAACAGGGAGGGCAGGGACCTGGATTGAGAAGCCAGAGCCGGGCAAGGCCCACCCAAGCTGTGCTCACCACCAGGGGGTGCACTCCAGTCTCCAGTTTCCTGCCCCACCCACCCATCCCCAGGGCCTACCCAGCCCCCACCCACTCTCCAGGCTCAGCCTCTGGCTGTGGGCTGAACCCATAGTTCTCGCTGCCACCACCACTGTCATTCCCCCAGGTATAGGAAGGTACACTTTGTCTTCCAATTCTTGGAGCCAGCTCTGCTGTCCAGACCTCCTGAAGCCAGGTGTCCAGGCACCCAGCACCTCCTGCCAGTTCACACAGAATTCAATTCCCCACCTGGAAGGGCTTTGGGCACAGGCAAACTGAGAGGATTGAAGAGGGCCAAGGATTTGTCACTAAGCAAGGAGGAAGCCAAAGACTTAGAGGGCAGAGAAGGATGTAATCAAAATCTTCGTCATCTCCGGCTTCCGAAGCTCCCTTCCAAAGTGCCCTCAAGGGCCTGGAACACTCTCAGTGACAGAGGCAAGAGCCCCATTTCGCCCCAGTGCTGCCTATCAAAATGGACTCCTAAATCTTGGCCCAGCCTCCCAGCCTATATCTCTCCTTCCTCCTGTAGCCCCAACTAATGTCTGGACTTTGAGGGGCCCTGGTCTGGCACACTGGATGCTTAGTTAATGTATGGTGGCTGACTAATGTATGGCCCCAGGACTGCCCCCCCGTCTCCTGTTGATTCATCTTTCAATCATCCCTTCCCTCTCTTCAGAACAGTCACTTGGGAAGTCACCCCATCCAGTGCATGGGTAGGGGGTGAGGGTTACAGCTCCACACAGTTGGGGTATGTGGGTCCCTGCCTGTTTAAGTCACTGCTTGCTCCTCCTCCCATCCTGGTAGGCTCAGAGGTGTCAACCTCCCAATCTCTGCCTGTTAGGATTCTTGCCTCTTACCTAGTTACTCTGTCTGCGTTAAACCTTTTCAAGACTGTACAGTGGTCACCAGCCTTAGGTTCTGCGGACATTCTGATTCCCCCCATGTCTTTTCTTCTAAGGGGCAGGTGTCCCCCTAATGCCTAATTTAGACACCCACGGGACTATAAGAAGATCCCTGCCGTTGCCCTTCTCCAATCCCATGGCTCCCTGTCACACAGTCTGGGGTCGCCGGACATTGTGAGGGGCCTCAGGGTTCTGTGGCAGCTTCCCCAGGGTTTCTGCCGCCACAGACTAGCGCCCCTGTGGGGCGTGGGGTCCCTTAGGAATCCGCGGGCGTCTTCCCCCAACAGTCTCAGAACTTTATCTCATGGCTTAGAGCTCTCGTATGGGTGGGGGCTCCTAGGTCTGGACGTTCCAGAACTCCTGGCTAGACATCCGGGTTCCACCCCCGAACACGTTGGGGCAGCATCAGGATCCCCCCCGCGGTCCGCACACCCACCTCTCAGTCCAGCCCACCCGTCCGGCGCAGGCTCGGCTTAGCTCTTTCGGGACCAGACAGATGGATTAGACACGCGCAGGCGGGAGGCGCCGCGACCCGGTGTCCCAGTCCCGCTCAGCAACCGTCCCCTGGATTCTGTGGAGAGCTGCCCGTCCAGCCGCGCCAGCCTCCCGGCTGGCCCCGCCCCGCCCCGACGCGCCAGCCAATTCTCGATCGGGTACCTCCCACTCTCGTGCGCCATTGGGAAAATTCAATTTGACGGCCACGCCCCTCGCAGGCCAGGGAGGTTGGAGACTGTAGTCTTGGGGTCGTCTGCCTCGGTGGCTTTAGCGAGTCGGGTGGGCATCGGCAGGGGGACGCAGGCTCTGCGCCAAGTCGGGGAGGGCGCCCCGAGCCGAGGTAAGTTTCCTGGGGTCGTAGGAGTCTCAGAGCCTTCAGGGCAGCCCCTCTCCGCCCTCCTCTTTGTTCCTGAGACCACGTCCCCTCCCTCGACTCCACCCCTTTCTCGCGTCAGTGTTTAAGCTTGGCCGCCGTCCCTAGGCTGCTTTCGGGACACCTGGTTTGAGCCACCTCAGAGCAGGGACTGAGTGACTGGCAGCACCTTGACCCTTTGGAGTTGGAGTGCCGGTTGGAGTGCTGGGACCATCTCAGGTGGAGCAGGATCAATCACACAGCACACCTCCCCCAGCCCACACACCTTTGAACAGACATTGCCTTCTTGTAGTGTTCTTCTACCTTCCAAGCCCTGAGAGTCTGCCTTTAGGAGCGCTGGAGTCCTAAATAGGGAATATGGAGTCCAGGCTGTCATTCAGCAAATATGGGAAATTGAGGCCCAGAGAAAGCTGATATGTCCAAGACCAAACAAAGAATCAGCCAGGGGACCCAGGAGGTCAGACCCACAAGGGAAAGCTATTCCATCTTCAGTGCCACAGGCCCTAAAACCGCCCTCAGATCTCCATGGAGACCAAAGTGGGTGGAGTTAGGAGGATGGGGTCTGGAGTCCTGTCAAATAAAAACAGTAACAAATCATTTATTTTGTACTTGCCATGTACCAGGCATAAAATGCCCATAACAAGAACATGAGACCATGACTACTGTCCCATTTTACAGATGAGGACAACAGCTGATAAGTAGTAAAGCTGTGATTCATACGCAGCACCTTCTGAGTCCAGACTCTGCTTTTAACCAGTATAATGTGGGATTCTGGGGAGGTAGTTTCAGCCTGTTGCCCCAGAAGAACCCTGGTTCAGGTCCTCTGTGACACCCCCGGCCCCCATCTAAGGAAAGGCCCAGTCTCCACATTGAGAGTCTTTTCCATGTGTCATTTCATTTCATCCCCACACCCCTGAGAAGTGGTCCAATTTTACACATCAGAAAACCAAGGCACCGGCCGGGTGCGGTGGCTCACGCCTGTAATCCCAGCACTTTGGGATGCCAAGGCAGGTGGATCACCCAAGTCCAGCCTGGCCAACATGGCAAAACTCCGTCTCTACTAAAAATACAAAAATTAGCTGGGCAGGTGGTGTGCAACTGTAATCCCAGCTACTTGGGAGGCTGAGGCAATAGAATCGCTTGAACCTGGAGGCAGAGGTTGCAGTGAGCTGAGACTGTGCCACTGCACCCCAGCCCAGGCGACAGAGCAATATTCCATCTCAAAAAAAGAAAAAAGAAAATCAAGGCACAGAAGAAAACGACTTGTCAAGGCTACACAGCAGGAGAGGCAAACAGAGCTCACTTTGGAGGACATGGTTCAAGGTCCTAGGCCTTCTCTACCTGGGTGAGATGCCATGTTATTATCCAGAACGAGGGTCAGGCGCCCTCTAAGGCCAATTCTGAATACTTTAAAATTCGCGCGTCCCTTGGGACCTCCCCTTCATGCAGGGCACACCTAGGCCACCTCTGATTTTCAGGGCCTACCTGAATGGCAGTCACCAGCTCCAATGAATGGCCTGGTTTGTGCTAACACCCTCCTTTCTCCCTGCCCTCCTGTAGGCTAGGAGGAATGGTACCGGTGAGTTCCTCCATGCTTAGATTTACTGTCTGGCACATGCCCTCACTAGCCTTTGGCCCTACGGAAGGGATGTGTGGCTCCTGCCCCCTCAAGTCCTTAGTGCCTGGGTCCACCTCCAGACATACCCGCCTGCCTCTTTGTCTTCCTCTCTGCAAGGGAGAGGGGGTGAGCTATAGATCAAAGGGCAGTCTGGTACAGTGCTGGGGAAGTTTATGGCTACAGCTGAGGAAAGAGTAAACATCCTGTGATGAGGGCCCCAGCATTTGCTGAGCACCTGTTGCATGTCAGACGTGGGGCTCCCACTACTGCCAGGTGACCACTGTGTAGGATAGCTACATTCTGATTTGACAGAGGAAGCTGAAGCTCCGGGAGGTGAAGGCTAGTAAAGGCATTCAGACTAAAGTGGAATTCTGCCTGATGTTGAAGACTTTTCCCTCCACTTTGCTGCCACTAGGATGGGGGAAGCTCTGGAAGACTTCTTAGGGAAGTGGCATATAAACTGTCACCCTTTTTTTTTTTTTGAGGTAGAGTCTTGCTCTGTCACCCAGGCTGGAGTGCTGGAGTGCGGTGGCACAATCTCGGCTCACTGCAAGTTCCGCTTCCCAGGTTCACGCCATTCTCCTGCCTCAGCCTCCTGACTAGCTGGGACTACAGGGGCCCGCCACTTACGCCTGGCTAATTTTTTGTATTTTTTAGTAGAGACGGGGTTTCACCGTATTAGCCAGGATGGTCTCGAACTCCTGACCTTGTGATCCGCCCGCCTCGGCCTCCCAGAGTGCTGGGATTACAGGCGCGAGCCACTGCACTCAGCCAGCCCTTTTTTTTTTTTTTTTGGAGACAGGGTCTTGCTGTGACCCACAGGCTGGAGTGCAGTCACGTGATCACAGATCACTGTGGCCTTCGCAAGATCACAGCTCACTGTGGCCTCAAACTCCTGGCTCAAGCAGTCCTCCCATCTCAGCCTCCCAAGAGGCTAAGACTACAGGCACACACCACACGCCCAGCTAAGTTTTAAAATTCACCCCACATAGAAGAGGGAGAAAGGCATGAAAGAGCATTTGTGGCAGAGGAAGAGTGTGATCAAAGACCAGTAATCTGGGAAAAGGAGGAGGACAGGCTGTGGGTGGAGCAGGAAATGTGGGTGGTTCTCTTTGTGAAGGATTCTGAATGCCAGGTGAGCAGGGTGAATGTATCTTGTGGGCACCAGAGAGGCCTGGGCCTCAGCCTGCCCCCTGTAAAATGAAGTGATTGGACTGGCCTGCTTCAGGCCTTCCTAGGGCAAGGGGCTGTCACAGAAAGGGTCTACTCTAGGTTCTTCCAGGTTCAACCCTGGAAAGGCAGAATGGGAAGTGGCTGGAGCAGCTCAGAGGCTAGGGGTCATATTTTGCTCCAGAGCCCAAGTCTGAGAATGACTATTTTACGAAGCTGTCTGCGTTGCATCCCTACGTCACCCTGGCTAACCTTCCACCCAGCCAGGGTCCTGCAGAGAAAGCCCAGGCCTGGGGTCAGGAGGCAAGAAGGGTGATGGGTGTCTTACCCCTGGCTCCACCCTAGGTAAGGCTTGGCCCTCTTGGAGCCTCAACTTGCTCATTTGCACAATGGAGGAGCTGTGCCTTGGGTTCTCTAAGCCTCCTCTCCCCAGGACAGCACTGTCATTCTGGAGATGCGAACAGCAGGAGCAAGGAAATGGAAGTAGGATTGAGGACCTTGTTGGGCAACAGACAGGCAGGTGAGGCTGAAGCATGGAGTCGCTAGAGATGAATGATTCTTGTTGGGGTTGACTGGATCCAAGGGCTATGACCTTCCTCCTTATGTGCAGAACTGGATGCGCCCTAGGTCATGGCCAGCAGCCCTCGGAGTGGGACTGAGGACCTGTTGGGAAACCAGTTTGGCAAGGCCATCATCTCCATGATGTCATCCAGCTGCTGTGTTCTCTGGGCAACAGTGCCAGGCAAACTTCCGGCCCTGGAGAAGGAGAAGGGGCCTCAGATGCCCACTGGGCAGCAATGAATTCCAGGAGACCCAGCCTTACAGACAAAGGAGAGGCAAAGGGCTGCGACAGGAAGGAGAGAGTTCTGGATGTGCCAGCCTGGACCTCTTTAGACTTCTGGGAGTCCCTGATGCCTGGGCGCAGGGAGTGGTGGGTCTAGGCTCATGGTGGGGTATTATGTAATTGCCACCTGATGGGTTGGACACTGGCTCCTGATCATGTTTATAATGCATGTGTGGCAATTTTGTTACCACTACGACCTTCATAGCTTGAGTCCTGTGAGGTAGTACCACTATTACACAGATAAGGAGACAGGTTCAGAACCCTCGTTCTTTTGGTTTTTGTTTGTTTGTTTGTTTTGAGACAGTCTCACTCTGTCACCCAGGCTGGAGTGGAGTGGCACAACCATGGCTCACTGCAGCCTTGACCTCCCAGGCTCACAGTGGGACTACGGACACGTGCCACCATGCCCGGCTAATTTTTTTATTTTTTGTAGAGACAGGGGTCTCCCTATGTTGCCAGGGCTAGTCTCAAACTCCTGGGTTCAAGCAATCTGCGTGCCTTCACCTCCTAAAGTGCTAGGATTATAGGTGTGAGCCACTGCGCCTAGCCAGAACATTTGTTCTTAATCACCATATTCTATCATCCACCATTTGGAAGCTCCGCTCAAATGAAGCCTGAACACTGGGGAGACCTGGGTCTCAGTCTGCCCATCTTTAAAATGAGGGGGTTTGACTGGCCTTCTTCAGGCCCTCCTAGGGCAAGAGACTTAATAAGAAGGGTCTAGATTCTTCCAGGTTCAGCCCTGGACTGGCAGAGTAGGGAGTGTCTGGAGCAGCTCAGGGGCCGAGGGTATTTTGGTTCCAGAGCCCAGTCCGAGAATGAATATTTCACCAACCTGTCAGTGTGGGATCCCAGCAAACCCTTCTCTCTACTTGTGAATGTAGCACCTGAATCTTGGTATCACAGAGTCCTATTATGGTTCACATTACTTGGTATCACATTACCTATTATGGTTCAAATAGGTAACTGAGTCCCAGAGAGGACAAGGGACAGGTTTCATGTAGCGTAGCAAATCAGAAGCAGAGCCATTCTGCACCCCAGATTCTCAACCTCCCAAAACTTTGTTTCCTCCTCAGGGCCTGGCACACTCAA